CAAAAATATAAAATTAATTGCAACAGACTTGGAAATGCTGAATTTGGTTACATTTATTATTATTTTTTTATGCGGATCGATCGTTTGGATTAAGCATTTAATGGGCTTTGTTGTAAGCCTTTTGATTAATGCGGCTAATAAAGCAATAAATTTTCGTATTAATCCAGTTACGAGCACTTAACAGATTTGAGTAATTGTTGCTTTTGTTTTTATTTTATTTTATTTTATTTATATTTGTTGTGATTGCTGTTGCGGAACGCGAGCGCAACGAACCGACTTCCTTGAGACGTGCAAACAAACTAAAAAACGCCTCAAAGTAAACAAAAACTTAATCCCAAAAATCCAGTTTCAGTTGACGCTGACGCCGACGCCAATGCCGACGTCAACATCGGCTGAGACAGCAGCAGCGACAGTGACCGAGAGCAGCGCCACGCAAATCGAAGAGAAGTCAACGGCAACAACATAAAAAGTCAATTTCATCAATGGGCAGGCAAGGCAGTCCGTCCGTTTGTCTGTCTGGCTGCTGCCTACTCCCTTTCTTCGAGTGTCACTTGCAGGCGTTGCCTTCACACAAACGCCGTGTGCAAGCGAGATGCCAGACACGAGAGCGAGATGGAGATGCCGTCGGCTGAGTGACAGGTAAAAATTTGTAGGTGCATTTCAAATGCAGCTACTGCGCAGCCGACTGCGCTGCTGCAGCGAAATTAGTCAATTTGATGTAAGTCTTAAGAAATAGATATTGCCCCGCACTTGAAACCGAAAACAGGCTCGACACTCGAGCTACTTGCGCCTAGCTGAACGGTAGGCACTCGACTGCATGAGCCAGCGTGAAAGTAATCCGCTTGATCGATAGCCGACCGGGCTTAGCAGCGCTGATCCGGCTGACCCCGCTGCTCACAGGCAGTAGTGTCACCAGGTCGTTAGATCGTGCTGTGGGCGTGAGCAAGTGCCCAAAACAGTGACCCTATAAAAAAGAGACCATGACAAAGATCGAAGGATATAGTTTAATTAATTGACGGTTGCTTGTATGTCCAGCGCCTAATAAGGATCTATTTACTGTGACGTCGCTAATTGCAAGGGATTCAGAGAAATATGGAAGCCTTTTCCTTAAAAAAAAAAACACGTCACATTAAATGATATATGGGAGCTCAAAAGAATGAATTTAGGAGCTATAACTGAGCTCTATATATATTGAAAACAATACGGATAATTAGATGTATGTATGCAAGCTTTTATGAATATTTAACTGAGAAAATAGCTGGTTCAGATCAGTCTTGCTTGAATTTGGAGTGCCCTAAATACTATTATATATAACAATTGATAGCGAATCCACATTTGTATATTGATATCAATCACTCTTTTGTTCATCATATCATGTATTTTTTTTTTTTTTTTTTTTTGATCGTATACCACTGAGGACTAGCTCTATAGGTATGTGCAATACACTATTGCAACTTATGCCACATATGTATATTATAAGAAAATTCAATTATATATTTTTATCAAATCAAATGTCATTCAATATACAAACATAAAAAAGTTCTTTGACAAATGCTGTTGGCTTCTAATGGCCATTTATTCATTGACGATCATCAGTTCAACAGATTACCACAAGTGGGCCAAATACCACTCACAATATTGTTAAAACCCATGGTGTGGATCATTAATCAAACGATTTGCCTCAGTTTCTGTTCAGTGAGAATCACATAATTCACCCATCAAAAAAGGTTCGTTGGCAACCTTCCTCCCCAGCTGGATGCTAAACAAATTCTTTCCATTAAAATGCAAAAACAAGCAGATCGAGAGAAAACTGAGTCAAATCAGATGCAGGAGAGCGAGAGAGAGAGAGAGAAAGAGATAGAGAGTCTGTTGAAGCAGAAGGAACGAAAGATGTCAAAACAAAAAAACCGCAAGCCAGACAAGCGCATATTTCAATCGACGCTGACACATCCTGCTGCGCTAATGGACCTTAATTTGTGAACAGCTTTATATATCATSCGCCGGCCCGTTAATGTGATCATCCACACGATCTTGTTGACGAGGCGCAGCCACCATATGTAGCTGGATCCGAAGCTGCTGCGGTGATTAAGTTTTATGACGWTTATCAGGCGAATACGTTGAAGGAAAGACCACGATACGAGCACAAGACTTGGCACGCGCTTTCCTGGAACCACGAACCAAGCGAGTCACTATGGAAAATTCTTCGATTTTTTTAAATTTGAATGAAAGTAAAGCAAGTAAAGAAAAGTGTATAGAGAATGAGTTGAAAATCATTGATATGCATATTAGTTGACTGATAACAGCCAGACAAATGATAATTGCTCTGGCTCCACTAATCCTGTATACCCTTTCAGTTGCCCTACCCAACATTTTGGAAAATGTCACCGAAATTTCAAAGTGGCGTCACCGCCACCGCCACCGCCACCGCCAAAGTCTATCCCAAGTCCCAAGTATTCCATAAGTCCCCTTAAGCGCTCTAGTGCATTGCATTTGATTACAATGGCTATTGATCGTCTCATGATTGTTTCAGTCTCATTGTCGCTCGATCAATATGTGCTCTCGTTCCCTTTCTCCCTATCTCTCCCTCTCACTTGCTCTCTGTTTCTGTTGCCATCTCACGCGCTCTTTCGGCAAAGATGAAAGAAATCTTTATTGGTTTTTGTAGTGATTTTAAGTGGATTTGTGGTTCGATTCTTAATGGCAAAGTACGCCAGCAGCTACAGCCACAAAATCAACAACAACAACAGCAACAGCAACAGCAGCAGCAGCATCAATGGCTCTCATCCGCCTTCAACTCTTCTCTGCTCTCAGACCCATGTTTGGTGGTTATATCGATTTTATTCAAATTTGTATGTTTATTTCTTCTGATGCGTAATTATGAGAATTTTTTTAGATGCAGACGTCTCTCTCTTGAGTGTTTTAGGCAGTTTGGAGTTGTAATTATAGCGTTTTTATGTAGCAAATGCATTCGAGAGTGTATCAAGCTATTGGTGGAGTTTACATGCAGTTACTTTGCATATTAAGAGTTATATATGTCTGTGATGAAAGAAGTGTTAACTGAGTGAGTGTAAAAACTTAGCTTGGTAAATTTGCTTGGCAATTATTATATTTAAAATATCAATATAAAGTAAAAATTATAATAATTATGTGTTTATGTTATAATTAAGTGAATAAATTTAATATTTATTTGTGATTTACTTTATAACTTAGCTTTAATCTTTAATTACTAATAATATATTTATGTTGAAGAAAAATAGTATAAAATCACAATTATATAGTTAACGTATAAATTTTATTAGATTTCTGATTCCATACAGTTATAATCTGCAGTATTTCGTATTTTCCCACTAAAATATTCCTTAGCAAACAAATCTTAGCCACATTTTATATATATATATTTTTTCTTAGCCTGACTGCTGTCTGCTTCCACGTGAGTGACATTGTGGCAAATGAGTATTCAAAGGAGACAGCCTATTCAAGATTTCAGTGTAGCAAAATGTATTCGATAAGACGCCGTAATTGAGAATTTCCTGATGGCAATAGGTGCTTTTACTTATGTGAATATGTGTACATATATCTGCATGGCTTATCGCAATGCAATTAGGGCTTTTGTATGTGCGCCGTAGCTGAAACAAACTCATCGCCGTGACACATGAGTGCATTGAAGCTATGTCCCACACACTTGCAGGGGAGTTGAGTCGCTATCCAAAAGGCACTTGACAACAACTAAAGCGCAATTGAAACGCGGCTACTACACATTCAGCAACAACACTGAAAGAAAACTCAATTTGAATATTTCAAGTGATAAGCAAAGAGCCTTCCCTCAAACAACAACGAGTGATATAAGCATGCTTGAGCATTTAACTGATTGTTCCAATCGGTGATTTTGTGAGAAGAACAGTGTTAGCCCATAATTTCATTTCATAGCTCATAGCTCGAATACTTTGTACTGGTATACTATTCTGGGGAGCGGCGCACTTGGCTTATCAACTGCTGAAATGATGGCGGAAATGGTGCTCTATTGTAGTTGTTGTGGTTGTTGTTGTTGCTGGTTTTTGTTTAGAATTTGCTGATAGTGCTTTAATTTGTATGCATTTTGTTTTATAATTAATTGGGAGTCGTGACAATGACCAATGTTATGCTGGTACATCGTGTGTGAAAGGCATGTGAAACAAAAGACTTAAGCAGCGAACTTGCTGGCAATATCCTTGCTGCTGGCACAATATGCTTGCGTAGATGCTCCACACACAATCCGTTGAAATCTCGATTTGACCCTTCTGCTGGCGTCTATATTAAGCAACGCTTTCGCTTGATCTGTGCCGGCAGCACGATTGATCTCAGACGCTATCTTTCCTCTCTCTCTCCCTCTCCTCTTCCTCTGGCCCGTTCGACCACACCGGCAGCACCAATGACAAGTTTTCGGCACGCGGGCAGACAAATTCCAACTCCATGCCTTTGCTGCAACAGGAATTCAAATGTGGCTTGACTATATGCATATATACATCTTTCTGYGTGTCTGTCTGTCTGTCGGCTGTCCATGCCCAAAGCTTTTAAGTGTCTTGGCGTCGGCGCGGCTTATGCCGTCTGTGTATCTACCACAGCCTTCGTCTCTCGGCGTCGCTTCATTCGTGACATTTACATTTGTGAGAGCATTGTCGGAGACATTGTCAGAGACGGTAACAATTAATAGCTGTGGAAAACTCAACATTCGTTTATTTGATTGCTTGGCGCTGGCTGTGAAAAGATCTCGCCTAATTTTCCCTTGTCTTTAATTAATTAACTACAATCATAATAATTTACTAAAAAAAAAAGGTGTAGAAATCTTTTGAAAGTCGTGGCTTCGACAATTTAGATTTTTATGACTTTTGGCGCCAGATGGAGAATACTCTGATAAGTAAGAAATATAAAAATTCTGCTCTTCTGGATTATTTTATCGGTCGTTATGAAACTTTAGCTCACGATTTACTCATTTCTTTATCGGCAGTCTTATAGGCCAGCTGCTTCCTTTCTACTAACGATAAAGCCTTTGATTTTGTTTTGTGCGTTCCAGTTCCACTTGGAATTATTCGCCTGATAAGTGATATATTGTGAAATCATTATGAATAATGCTAAGTTATCGCAGCAGCTACGATAAACAATATAATATATATATGAGCTTATTTATTGCGGCTAATTTTATTGAATATAATAATTATATAAATAAATTTCTAAAACGTTTTCAACTTTAACATAT